ATAGGATGCCTTTTTGTTCTACTGACGGTGTCCTTTGCTGTACAGAAGGTTTTTAGCTTGATGTAGTCCTGTTTGTTCATTTTTGCTTGTTTCCCTTGCCCGAGGAGATGTGTTCAGGAAAAAGTTGCTCACGTTTATATTCAAGAGATTTTTGCCTATGTTTTCTTCTAAGAGTTTTATGGTTTCATGACTTACATTCAGGTCTTTGACCCATTTTGAGTTTACTTTTGTATATGGGGTTAGACAATAATCCAGTTTCATTCTCTTACATGTAGCTGTCCAGTTTTGCCAACACCAGTTGTTGAAGAGACTGTCATTTCCCCATTTTATATCCATGGCTGCTTTATTGTATATTAATTGACCATATATGCTTGGGTTTATATCTGGGCTCTCTAGTCTGTTCCATTGGTCTATGGATCTGTTCTTGTGCCAGTACCAAATTGTCTTGATTACTGTGGCTTTGTAGTAGAGCTTTGAGTCGGGGAGTTTAATCCGCCCTGCTTTATTCTTTCTTCTCAGGATAGCTTTGGCTATTACAATAAATCATTTGAGTCGGGGAGTTTAATCCCCCCTGCTTTATTCTTTCTTCTCAGGATTCCTTTGACTATTACAATAAATCATTCTTACTACTTTTTTTCCAATCACCCTCTCAACACATCCCTACTTCTTTCTTGACTTATGTTTTATGTTCCATCTTAATATTGGTCCCTGGCTTATACTCTTAACTTCTTTTCCACTCTGTCAAACTCACTGGCTAAACCCCAGTTCTTGTTAAATCCCAACTCCATGCCTGCTTCCACACAGATGAGTGTGACTAAAGAAAAACAGCAAGCCCCACAAAGTTTAACTTGAATGTGTGTAACTGTAAGCCTCAAGCAGATCTTTAGGGCTACATGGTGATCCTCCTACAGTTCCCTAGTGAATTTATTCTCCTTTGAGTAACTCTCATACCTTCTCAAAATGGCAGTGCTATCACCCTGGTTTCTTGTCTGATGGCCCTTGCTTCTTTCTTCACTCAGAAAATAGAAGCAATAGGAAGAGAATATGTACCTCCTCCTACCAACAGTTCTACCAATTTACCTGCATGTGTACCTGTGTGCTATGTTTTTCCTCTTATTAGAATAGAGTGGATGAGCTGTCTGGTTCTATCCTAGTCCATCCCCTCCCGTTGTAACATATTCCATCCCTTCTCACCTGTTCAGAAACTTTGCTCCTAAAGTTATCACCTCCCTCTCTGGCATCATCAGTTTTTCTCTACTCCATTTTCTAAATGGATCTTTCACATTTAGCATATAATATGCTGCATCATCACCCTATTTAAACCACACCATGACTGTACATTCCTCTCTAACTACCACTCCATTATTATACACCCCTTTTTAGCAAAACTTATTTAGAAAGTTGCCTTTATTTGTCTATACTCCCTGTTTCTGATGTTCTGTTGAATCTATTCCAATTCATTTACTCTGGTAAACTCCAGTGAAACTGCCATTCCATTGTCAATGTGATTTCCACTTTGCCAAATCAAGTGGTTAGTGATTTCCACATTGCCAAATCAAGTGGTTAGTTTTTAGTTTTCCAAAAGCTCTTGGCAACATGACACATCTGTTCACTCAGCTCTTCTTAGAGATTTTCTCCATTTCACTTCCAGATAGCATACTCTGCTGGCTCTCTTCCTATTTCATTGGGCTGCTCTTTTTAAGTCTTTGCTAGAACCTACTTTCTCAACAAACGTTGATATGACTAGAGTCTCAGTATTAGGACTTCTTCCCCATCTGTGCTCCCTCCTAATGCCCACTCCTGTGCTTGCTTCTAGTTATTTCATATAGTCTCTTTATCCTGGTGACTCCTAACTCCAGCTACTCACTTGACATCTTTCTTTGAAATCTAATAGCATCTCAGGTACAGTAATCCCAAGCTGAACTCTGATTTTCATCCCCAAACTTCCTCCCTACCAAGTATTTTCCAGTCCATAAGTGACCCCTCTGTTAGCCATTGCATAAGCTTCAAACTTTGGATTCTTTCTTTCAGACCATACCCGGTGTCCATAAGAAATTCCTCCAGGCTCTACTTCAAAATATATTCTTAGCATGTCTGCCACTACTACCCACATCCAAGCCACCATTACCTCTTGCCTGGCCTAATGTAGTAGCCTCACAACTACAATCCCTATTTTTTGCTCATGCGCCTCTACATTCTTTTCCACACAACAGCCAAAATCATCTTTTTAAAACACAAGTTAGATTATGTTACTTCCTTCCCTAAAACTTCCCATTAGCCTCTTCCATACTTAAAAGAAATCCAAACTCTTCCTTACTATGGACTAGGCCCTAAATTTTCTGGTCCCTGACTAAATGAATTCATCTCTAGCTGCTGTCAAATATGCCAAGCATGTTTTTAACCTCCAGAGTTTTGTACTCACTGTTCTCTTTGTCTGAGTCACTCTTTCCTCCACAGCTACCTGGTCCACTCCTTAGTTGACTCAGGGCTCTGCTCACCTAGTATATCTTTAGAGGGACTCTCCATGACCACCTGCCTGAACCAGCAGGCTCCCTAACTGCAAGCCCTGCTCCTTTACCCCATCATCACTCTCTCCTAACGTTCTGTTCTGTTCTCTTCTCTTCCATTCCATATCTATCTACTCTTTCCACACGAACACACACATATTAAAATAAACATTCTACTAGGGCAGACACTAACTTACTGCTATTTCTTCAATACCTAGAACAGTACCTAACACATATGTGCTCAGTAAGTATCAGTGAACTGTTGAATTAATGTTGTAATTCCGAGTGTCAACCAAACACTTGAAACCCTAGTTTTATTTCACTGCACCACACCACCTTACTTAATAGTTAATGAGAGATTGTTAACAAACTTGTGAACCTCATGATGATATTTAAAATAACTCATTTGTGTGTCTGTTGGTTAGTTACTTAAGTATTTAAAAATAGCAAGATAGGTCAAGATAGGTGTTAATGGATCATTATTACCTCCATCTAGACTCCTAGTCCCTAAGCTATGCATATTTAAAGTTGTAGGAAAAAGCTGTATTACTTATGATGGAACTACAGTATGGAGAAATAATGAAACAGATCATAAAGAGGGAATATTAGGGAAGTACCTTAAGGAATAATAATCATAAAGGCTGCTTTCTGGCTTTGATGTATACTGTGTCTATGTGGTAAACTTTTGTATATATTCAGATAAATTCTGTGTGGTAAGTCTTAAAGAAAAGGCACTGACAAAAGTAAGGACCCATGAGGGAGATATTTGGAATGACTTAAAGAGAAGACATTTCGAACTGTTTATTTTTGACTTGCTAGTATGATAAGCTGAAATCTTTCTTTCTTTCTGTTTCTTAGTACTGCTGGCGATGGACAGGTTTTAACTTTGGCTTTGACCTACTTGTAACTTACACCAATCGATACATCATTTTCAAACGCAATACACTGAATCAGCCATGTAGTGGATCTGTCAGTTTACAGCCTCGAAGGAGCATAGCATTTAGGTAGGATGAGATTGTCCTGCTCCTCTTCACTCCAGAAGAAATATAAGAAATGAAATTTAAAACTTGATCATTTACACCAATAATAGTAGAACTTTAGTAAGATAACACATATATAAACATGCAGGGAAATGATAAGGCTCCATTCCTGTGAAATGTATTAATAATCAAAAACATAAGATATAGTATGTCAGGGAGGAAGAAAAGCCTTCAATATAAGTGATAGGATTGACACTGGGCTTGAAGCTGTTGCTTTGAAGCTATTCCTAGCAAATAAAAGGACCAAAGTGGAAATACAGCAAGATATTTTTCCAGGAAAGCATGTCTGGTACTATCCTTCACTTTCTGTAGGACGTGATATGTCCAGCTTTGCCTTTGAGCTGGCAGTGTTTTTCTGGAGAGGGTGCTGACAAATTGGAAAACAGCTCAATAAACCGATTTTTCTTTTAAAGTAATATATTTATACTTACCATATACTATATGAAAAATTAACTCAAAATGGGTAAAAGACCTAAACGTAAGGGCTAAAACTATGAAATAATTTTGGGAGGAAAACATGAGGAAAAGCTTCTTGGTATTGGATTTGGCAATGATTTCTTCAAATATAATACCAAAGCATAGGCAACAAAAGAAAACGGTAAATTGGACTCCATCAAAATTTAAAACCCTTGGGTATCAAAGTACACTTAACAACAAAGTGAAAAGGCAACCTGTAGAATGAGAGAAAATATTTGCTAACCACATATCTGATAAGGAGTTAATATCAAAAATATATAGAGAACTCCTAAAACTCCACAACAAAAAACACATAACCCAATTCAAAAATGGGGAAAGGACTTAAATGTTTTTCCAAAGAAAACACACAACTAGCCATAAAGCACTTGAAAAGATGCCCAACATAACTAATTGCTGGAGAAATGCAAATCAAAACCACAGTGTGATAGCACCTCACACTCATTAGGATGGCCTTACCAAAAACAAAAAGAACATGTGTTGGTGAAGACGTGGAGAAATGGGACCCTTGTGCACTGCTGGTGAGAATGTAAAATGGTTCATCCTTTGTAGAAACTAGTATATCATTGCCTCAAAAAACTAAACATAGAATTGCTATGTGACCCGGCAATTCCCCTTTTGGTATTTACCCAAAAGAGTTAAAAGCATGGACTCAAACAGATATTTGTGCAACTCATTTTCATAGCAGCGTTATTCACAATAGCTGAATGGTAGAAGCAACCCAAGTGTCCATTCACAGATGTTCATGAATGAACAAAATGTGGTATATACCTACAATAGAATATTATTCAGCCTTTTAAAGAAGGAAATTCTGATACATGCTACAACATGAACCTTGAAGACATTATGCTAAGTGAAATAAGCCAGGCACAAAAGAACAAATACTGTGTTAATTCCATTCATATGAGGTACCTAGTAGACAAATTCTTAGATATAAAAAGTAGAGTGATGGCTATTGGGGGTGAGGTAAAGGGAAACAGGGAATTCATGTTTCCTGGGGACAGAGTTTCAGATGGGTAAGATGAAAAAGTGGAGATGGATGGTGGTGCTGATTGCAAAACAATGTGAATGTATTTAATGCCAACAACTGTACACTTGAAAATGGTTAAAGTGGTAAATATTATATGTATTTTACCACAATAAAAAAGGCATATTCATATATTATTTCTGTATCTCAGCTATGTAAATAGCACAAGCTTATAAATCTAAATGGAATGAGTTTATAGTTTGAAAAGACTTTTTAAAGTCTTTTGTCAAATAAAAGAAAATATAGGGAAAAAATGTAAATTTTAAAGTGACAAAGGGCTTATTTAAACTAATCTGTGGTTTAAAAAATCATGTTTTTTTTATTCTAGATTACGTTTGGCCTCTTTTGATAGTAGTGGAAAACTAATATGTAGTAGAACAACTGGCTATCAAATACTTACACTTGAAAAGGATCAGGTATGTTTACTTTTCTATTAATAATTTCATTATAATATTTGTCTTTTGAATCATCTTTTGAAAATTCTTAATTAGAATTAACATTTGATTTAAAGATTGGTTTGAAAGTTTTTTGAAGGTAAAGATGTTAAGTATCATATTCACTTCTGCATAATTTACCTCATTCTATTAAAAGTATAGCTATGACCAAAAAAAAAAAA